CCAGGCTCTGAGCTGTCAGTGCAGAGCCTGACCTGGGGCTCAAAGTCACGAACCACGAGATCATGACTTGAGCTGAGATCGGACACTTAACCAACTGAGCCACCCAGGCGCCCTGAGAAACTCTTAATTTCAGCTCAGGTCATGATCTCACGGCTCCTGGGGTTGAGCCCTGGGTTGGGCTCTGGGCTGACAGCATGGAGCCTGCCTGGGATCCTCTGTCCCCCTCTCTCTGCCCCTACCTCACTTGCATATTCTCTCTCTCTCTCTCTCTCACACACACACACACACACAAAGTAAATAAACATTAAAAAGAACAACAACAACAAAAGGGGGATTCCTGCTTCACAGGGCTGTTTCAAAGACGTAAGATGACCATGGATATAAAGGGGATTGGCAGAGCCAACCCCGGATAACTAGGACTTATATCCTTCAACAGGAAAGAGTAATGAGGCAATGAGCTAGAATGACCAACTCATCCTAGTTCGTCTGGGGATGTCCTGGCTTTAAAGCTGGAACTCCCAAGTCCTGTGAACACTTCCTGCCCCCAAGTCCTGGACAAACCAGGCAGCCAGTCACCCTAGCCAGAGCACTGGAGAGAAGGAGGGTAGCAGTTGCTTGAAGGGAGAGCCTGCATTATTCACCTTGGTTCCCCCTCAGTATCCAGCACAAAGGAGGCCCTCAAGAATCAGTAAGTGAATAAAGGAAATGAAAAATAAATGTAAGTAGAAAAAAGGCAGAATGACTGATAACCTAAAGCCACCCAGAAAGCAGTCAGTGAGTGAATTTCCATGACTGCACCCCCCATGTTAGATACCTCTGGGTCCTGCCAGGCCAATGTCCCCTGTGTGGGATGAGGGGAAGAGCATTGGAAAGGCTGATTTTTTTTTTTTTTTTTTTTTTTTTTGAGTAGGCTCCGTGCCCAACATGGGGCTTGAACTCATGACCCTGAGATTGAGAGTCAGAGGCTCTACTGACTGGGCCAGCCAGGGACCCTGAGATAGGGCATCTGATCTGGATTTTTACAGGTTAACCAAATAAATGTTAAGAACCATCTTGCTATAAGAGACTGACACACCAAATCAAGACATTAACAATTTAGGGTCTTAACCTAGAATTCTTCTCAAGAAGTAAAAACAATCTTTGAAGATTCAAGATCCCCTATTGTTAAACAGAGATGCTTCAACAGACTGAGCCTCTGTCTTGATTTCACTGTTACACAGCAGCATCCCTGCTTTGCGCCAGGATTTGGGTGTAGGATACAAAAGATTTCCAAGGATCGATTCTGAGGGCAGACATCTGTGTCCAATGAAAACACCATCTTCCTCACAGCTGTTTTTTAAACGAAATGTCGGGCTGTGCACTGTCCCCCAGGAGAGAATGTGCCACTATTCGGAAAGGAGCCTCCCTCTATCCCTTCAATTCAACACCCTCTGTATAGCCTCCTTTGACACAAAACAGGGAACTCAGAGGCAAGAGGTGATACCCTGAGCTTACATCGTCTTGAAAGGAAGAATAAGGAACTTAGAGGAGAACGATTTAGAGAAGTAGCATGTTCTGAGGCTGGAGCTAAAAGGCCTGAGTGCCCTCAAAAACCAGAAGGCAGTCTACACACCAAACCAGCAGTCTACAAAGTCGGGGAGATCCCTTGCTCGTCATCTTCCTAAAGGACTACTGCAGTTACACGTACTTACTGTGAAAAACAGAAAAGGAAAAAAATCTTGCTCCATGTGGAATGAGAAGTATTTCTTAGATAAAACTGAAAAGCAGCATCGCTGTTACCGTTTGAATCAAACTGGAAGCCCCTTACACTGCTACACAGGGCGGGAGGGGGGGTGGCGGGAAACAGTCTGGCAGTTCCTCCAGGTGTTAAACTCAGAGTCACCATGTGACCCAGCAATTCTCATCCTCCGTATTTCGGTATTTACCCAAGAGAACTGAAACACATGCCCCTACAAAACCTGTACACAAATGTTCAGAGCAGCACAATTCACAATAGCCAAAAAGTAGAAACAACCCAAATGTCTATCAACTGATGAATGAATCAACAAAATGTGGTACAGCCACATACCGGAAGATCATCCAGCCTCAAAAAGAAAATGCTGACACACAGCAGCACAACATGGATGAACATTGAAGACACTATGCTGAGTGAAATAAGCCAGACACAAAGGCACAAGGTACTGTAGGATTCCATTCATATCCAGAGACGCAAAGTAGAATGGTGATTGTCAGGGGCCCGAGGGAGGGAGGGATGAGGTATGTTTAAAGGCGTTAAGTATTTAAAGAGTTTCAGTTTGGAAAGATGGAAAAGTTCTGGAGAAGGATGGTGGTGATGGCGGCACAACCATGTGAACGTATGAATGACACTGAACCATGCACTTAAAGATGGTAAATTTTGGGGCGCCTGGCTGCCCCAGTCGGTGGAGCCTGCGACTCTTGATCTTGAGGTCGTGAGTTCGAGCCCCACGTGGGCTGTAGAGCTAACTTTAAACAAAAAAAAAGATGGTATATTTTGTGTTGTGTATATTTTACAGTAAAAAAATATAACTTTAAAGAAATAAAGTACTGATACACGCTATAACATACACGAACATTTTGCTTAAAGAAGCCAGACACAAAAGGCCAATATTGTAGGATTCCATTTATATATACAAAATGTCCAGAACAGGCAATTTCATAGAGTCAGAGAGTAGATTAGTGGTTGCCAGGGGGTAGGGGAGTGGGGAAAGGGTAGTGACTGCTGATGGGCACAGGGTTCCTTTTTGGGGTGATGAAAAGTTTTGAAATTAAATCATTGGTAATGGTCATATAGCTGTAAATATACTAAAAACTGCTGAATTGTTTGATGTAAAAGGGGCAATTTTCTGGGAAGAGGATTATAACCAAACTATAATTGTTTAAAAGTTCAGCAGCACAGAAAGAAATAAGCAGTTAGACTGCTCTGGAGCACCTACTTCAGGGAAAGGTCTCTGGAGGTGGTCCCATTTCAGAAGCTTCAGGTATGCATAATTCTGGACAGCCACAGGATTTGGCATGGGACTGTCTCCAGAGTCAGCGGCCCCTCCCTCAGCTGGCAGGGCATTTTTATACTTCTGATTCATAAGGTCATCTGCGGCCTCTTCCAGCCACTGGGTGACAAAGTCCAGGGAATCTGAAAAACAAGGCTACGAACATTACTATGACACTCAGGAGGAATTCTTCTCGGAATGACTTTAAGGAAGATCATCCTGAAGGTGTGGTGTATATAGAGTACGGACTTTGGAATCAAATAAAACTTGGTTCAAATCACAGCACTGCTGGTTACTAGCTGAGGTTTATCAGATTCCTACTACAAAGAAATGTACAATACCACCCCATAGGCAGTTGTGAGGATTAAACAAGACAGTAAACACAGAGCATGTATCCAGACCTTGCCACCTGCAGATGTTCAACAAACCACTCCCTTCTCTCCCACCCCGACCGCTGCAGGAGCGGAGGCTGGAAGCTCTGATGACTCCAGCTCAGGGAGATGCAAAACTTCTCGCCCAGAGACAGATGGGAGGAGGCACTGGGGATAGCTTCCCAGTGTAAAGTCTCCTGCACGCTGAAGAGGAGGCCTTTTCCTTGTCTAGATCTTAGTCTCCTGTCAATCTGGTTTGCTTCCAGCCTCGTGGGAGGGGACGTGTACTACGCAGCGTCTGGAATTCTGTTGGGGAACCTGGAGTGTCTTTCATCTGCTCTCATAGACTTCCTCCTTTTCTAAGCTGAGTAACGCAGCGAGGATTCTGAGGGACACGAGAGAAAGATGAGGTTTTTCTCCACCATATGGGAGAAAGTCTCTCTGACAGGTCCTAGAACGTGCTACAGCTCTGCCAGTGGAGGCCACCTTCAAACTAAGGGGGTGGCCCAGGGTATGATGGGGGTCCACTCTTCGCTGCTGCAGGATGCACCTCTGGCTCTGTCATAACAGCGGTGGCACGGATCTCTGTGGCTAGCCGTACCATCCCGATAGCCTTCTGCAGATGGCAGGCTCTTAGCCCACAAGCTTGTACATGTGAGGAGGAAGCAGTAGACTGACCAGCTCAGGGATCGCAGCAGTGGGTCCTTCACTGGGCCCTGGCTGCTGGCACCGGGCTCTCACACTGAGGCTCTTCAGCCTGCACCCCTGATGCCTCCTGAGGGGCAGTACTACACTAGCTGAGAAAGTGAACCACGTGGTCAATCAATTCCGGTCAAAAAGTTCTCAAAATTGATTTCCACATCTGCAAAATGGTGTTAAAAAAGTGCTTCCCTCCTAGTCTTACTGGTGAGGGTTTATATGATAATGCGCACGCACTCTCGGCACATGCCTAGTAGGTAGTAAACATCAGCCAATCTTCTGGTACTGCTTCTTCTACTCTGCTCTTGCCTGATTCCTCCTGAACCATCTCGGCCTTCTCTGCCGGCAGCTGGATGAACACCTGCTCTGGACACTGCATTATCTATTCAGGTCAGGCAACACAATCTATCCAGAGACCACCATTTTCATCTTGGGACCACCAAAGTTATAGGCTAAATAGAACTCATAATAAATTGGATTCTGGGGCGCCTGGGTGGCTTAGTTGGTTAAGCATCTGACTCTTGATTTCGGCTCAGGTCATGATCTCACAGCTTGTTGAGATTGAGCCCCACTTCAAGTTCTGTGCTAACAGTGGAGAGCCTGTTTGGGATTCTCTCTCCTCCTCTCTCTCTGCCCCTCCCCCTGCCCTCTCTCAAAATAAACTTAATACATGAATAAATAGGATCCAAAGATTGTAATTTAATCGTAACATCAGATGCCTGTGCAGAGACCAAAAAGAGTACCCTTGAAAGGCAACACAGTTTTGGGTTCTCTAGTGCTCTGTATTCCTGTAGTCATCTGAGAGGCTTATAAAAATGAGACTTTTTGTGGGTATAAAACCAGAAAGATTTTCTGCATATAGAACAGAGGCAAAGTAAAGTTTCTTCATGTACCTTAGAGGAGAAAGTGAATTAAATAATCACAAGAAGTGTGTCATGTTTTAAAAATCACGGCCAAGCATACAATTTACCTCAAACTGGTTTTTTCATTAAAAACCCATTTTGGGGAGCCTGGGTGACTCAGTGGGTTAAGCCTCCGACTTCGGCTCAGGTCATGATCTCATAGTTCCCGAGTTCAAGCCCCGCGCTGGGTTCTATGCTGACATATCAGAGCCTGGAGCCTGCTTTGGATTCTGTGTCTCCCTCTCTCTCTCTGTCCCTCCCCCTGTTCACGCTCTGTCTCTCAAAAATGAATGAACATTTAAAAAAGAAAAAGATTTAAAAAGAAACATTTAATTTAGGACTTCATGCTTTTAAATTTCTATTCTTATATCCTACTTTTACTTCTCTTGCTTGTCAATAAAGTTTTGTTTTCAGGTCCAAAGTCTTGTGCTTTTAAGCCTTCAAATTAGAATGGTCGCATACTAAATTTTAGTTTTGTCTTGAAAACAGTATCATTGTACAAAAAGCTACAGAACTGGAATGGGAAAAACACACAATGAAAGGGCACACAAAGCATTAGACGTACTTGGCTGCTTCTCCAAAAGCTGCTGAAACTTCTTCCTTTCGTATTCAACTGACTGCTGCATGAGATGTGGCCTAATGCTAGTGACAGCAAAGTTCGCCATGTCCACTTTCATTAGGTCCAACACGGAAAAAATTGCCCTGAGAGAAAAGGAAGAAAAGGATTTAGAACAAGGCACTTGTAAAGCAAGCACTGTTTCAGAGGAAAGAGGGGAGCTGATCTGAGAGAGGCTTCTCATTTCAGAAAGGGTAGCAAGTTCGAAAAATCTTGAGAGTGTAGATTAAGAAAACATAAAAATCTAAATAATGGATTGAAAAGACTGCAGATTTTTAAGCCGCCTCTGTCCCCCCTCCCCCCCCACACACACCCTGCCCCCAAGCAAACACAGCTCCCCCACTGCCTGGGGACCCGTTCTTTGGCGTTGGGTCGGCCCTCCCAGCAACCACGGACGAAGGACAGCCAGGACCCAAGGTCAAGGGCAGAGAGCTGACCACTTGCGTCTCCACTCTCCCACACACGTTAATTCACTTTCCCAGGAAGAAAGAACAAGAACTCTCTCCTTTCTCCTCTCCTTTCGCCCCAGGCTCTTAGTTTCAGGGCATGTTTTCTATTCTAGTTTTGGTGGCAGAACTGCACGTTCACACTCTGAATGTACCCAGTGGGCAGACCTGACTTGATGCTAAGGATGCCTTCAATCCTGCAGGTCACACACCATAGCTATTTCTCCAGAGGCGGGAAACTGCTGAGTGACCTACTTGCAGAAGGTGGTTGAGAACCCAAGGTACAGGTTTGGCTGAGGCCCTACACACAAGGGGGAACAGGGTCAAATGTCCTGAGTCCCCTGACACCCTCTGGGACTGACTGAACTGTATGACACAATTACCTTCTGTGTGGGAGTTTATTATGTGTGGAAAGGACACACAGTCTGAGGAACAATTCAGGGTCCCTTCCCTGCCATCCTGTCTACCTCCCAAACACATGGGACAGCCCACTTCTTGGGGGACATTCTGCCTCTCCTCTGAGTACTCCTAGAGGTTCCCCAAAACCACCCGCTGCAGATGAGAGACTGCTGGAAACTGCCACCTGGCGGCCACTGACTGGAGTAACCCATGAACATGTTTGTGCTCAAAGTGTTTTTAAAAACCGCCATTTCCAGCCTCTCCTGAAAAAAATCTAACGATCTGACAACACGGACCCACATTTCTTCACGGCCACAATCAACTGCCTCCTTTTAACAGTGTATGTACTCCCACTTTGCCAGGCTCCCCGCTCCATTCTCTTCCCAGTAGGAATTTATGTTCAGGTTGAGTTTGCTGCAAGCTATCTTCCCCAGAGGTCTCACCTCCTAGGAAACTCCTCCCTTAACTTGGCCAAATTAGAAGCTCTTACTATTTCTAAAGTCTAGCACCATACCCAGCACATAAGAGATGCTCAATATGAGCTTGTTGAATGAGTGAACAAATCAATTTTTAGGTCTTTTTTTTTTTTTAAGATTTTATTTTTAAGTAATCTCCACACCCAATGTGGGGCTCAAACTCAGGACCCCGAGATTAAGAGTCACATGCTCTACCCACTGAGCAAGCCACGCACCCCTTCTTAGGAGGTCTTTTCAATGCTTTCTGAACCCTGAGGTAACTTCATGATGCATAGCATTTTTATATGTACCAAATATTGATATGATATAAAAGAAGCTGAAAATGAAAGGAACTTTTGGAAAGCAACTTGCTAACATGCAATGAGAGTCTTAAAACTGTTCTTATCCTCTGATACAGTAATGCCACTTTAAGAACTTATAGTTAGGAAATAACCTGAAATACAGAAAAAAGTTTTGTACACAAGGATGTTCATGGCAGGATTAAACAGTAAATAATTAGAGGTAATCTAATTGTCCATCTTAACATAGTAATAGTTAACTATATCTACGCAAATGAAGATTTTGCAGCCATTGAAAATGCTTATAGAGAGTTTTAAAAAATAATATAAGTTGGGGGTGCCTGGGTGGCTCAGTCAGTTAAGCGTCCAACTCTTGGTTTTGGCTCAAGGTCATGATCTCACAGTTCACGGAATGGAGCCCCGTATTGGGCTCCATGTTGACAGCGTGGAGTCTGCTTGAAATTCTCTCTCTTCTCTCCCTGCCTCTCCCCTGCTCAAGCTCTCTCTCGAAATAAAATAAAAAAAAAATTTTTTTTAATTATCAATATGATTAGCAGTGATTTTGCCTTTGGGTGGTAAAACCGTGGGTGATTTTTTTTTCCTTCTTTCTACTTTTCTGTATTTAAAAAAAAAATGTTTGCTTTTTAAAAATTCATGAGTATCTACACTCGAAGTCTAAATCTGAAAACGGGCTCTGTATATTAAGTGCACTGAAGGTGATTAACACAATCCCCATACCTGAAAAGGGGCACTATTTCCTTAATATCCTTTAGTTTCTTAACTTCTTCATCTCTAGCAGGTGCACACACTGTCCCCATCATGCCAATAATGAATTCTGCCAGCTTGGAAATGTCTAAGGCCCCATTCTCTGCTTCTTGCTTGATCAGATCCAGATCTAAGACTTCCATTATCTGGTTTCTCAGTCTACTGTGACCAGGCAGCAAGAAAGATAAGAGAGTCTACAAGAGAGCACAGCCAAGTTTAATCAAAGTTTCTTAGTCAGACATCATTTTTCGTTATACACAAAGGAATTTATAATTACCCAAATAAGGCTTTATCAATAGTTACTGTAATACCATAATACAATTGCAACTATAAAACATTTTGACCTTTTAACAAATCTATAGAAAAACATGTTTTCAAATCATTTATTTATTTATTTTAATGTTTATTCATTTTTGAGAGAGAGCACAAGGAGGGGAGCAGCAGAGAGAGAGGGAGACACAGAATCTGAAGCAGGCTCCAGGCTTTGAGCTGTCAGTGCAGAGGCGGACGTGGGGTTTGAACCCATAAACCATGAGATGACCTGAGCCATAACACTTAATCGACTGAGCCACCCAGGTGCCCCTCATTTATTTAAGTAACTAAGTAAGTTAATTAAGTAAGCTCTAAGCCCAACATGGGGCTCAAACTCACAACTCTGAGAACAAGAGTTACATGTTCTACTGACTGAGCCAGCCAGGCATCCGTTTGCAAATCATTTAGACGAGCTATTTAAGCTTCTGTTTAAGGTCTAGGTAGCAATCAACAGGATAAAAGATGAACAAGCTGTTAAAAGTGAGAAAAAACACAGTAATTAACGTGAGCCTCTGAACCAAATACAGATGCCAGTTTCCATGGATACATTTTTCTCTTTCAACTACTGCTAAAGGTATTTGCAGAAAGAGTCTTAACTTCCATTTAATACCTTCTCTATCCCACAGACTGAGTCACTCTTTGGCCATTATAAATTAAACATATCTAAGCCGATTAAAATTTTTATTAATCACCTGTGCTTGGTCAAATAACTTGTTTTCTTTAAATAATTGTTTTAAAAAAATTTTTTTTTTTTCAACGTTTATTTATTTTTGGGACAGAGAGAGACAGAGCATGAACAGGCGAGGGGCAGAGAGAGAGGGAGACACAGAATCGGAAACAGGCTCCAGGCTCTGAGCCATCAGCCCAGAGCCCGATGCGGGGCTCGAACTCACGGACCGCGAGATCGTGACCTGGCTGAAGTCGGACGCTTAACCGACTGCGCCACCCAGGCGCCCCAATAATTGTTTTAAAAAATATAAACCTTCATTTACAAAAGTAAAGCCTTTGGGTTATCACAGCTTGTTTGAAATTTTTAAAAAGGTATTAAGCCAAAAAAAGTCTTAATCCACAATTCAGCAGGTATGTTAACCTCTCAATCCTTCAATTTCTTTAAAGTCTTCTGGTACAGTAACACAGACAGGCTGAATACTCCTAATACACCAGAAAAGCACTACAATTTGCCCTCCATCTCACCTCTTTGATTTCTCCGACAAGTTTGATGGCATGGTCATATGTTGGGGGGTCTTCACTTAGCTGGACACTCAAGCAGTCCCAAAAAGCTTTATGTACAATATCCTTTACTCTCTTCTCCAAGCTGGAAGCAAATGAAAAAAGGAAGAAAAAAAAAATCAAAATATTTGAGGCTCAAATCACTTTCGAAAGCACAAATTCTATGGGTTTAGGGTGAGACATTTTACAAATAATTTAGATGAAGGAAAGATTTCCCAGATATACTTATACCAGTCACATATACTATTTTTAGTTTAGTGATTTACTTCAGTAAGTACCTCACTGGACAGAATAACTTTCAACTAATTTCACAGATGACTTTAGACCAATTAATAGCATATAAGGATATTAATAGCATATAAAAGCATACTGGAAAGTTCAGAGCTGTTTTCTTAATTTTCCCTGTTACCAGAAAGTTTCTTAAGATATTTATGATTAAGTAGTTTAAGATAACAACTCAGCATGTATATAGGCTGAAGGACTTTATTTCTAGAAAATACCCTATTCCTATATGATATATGAGACAATTATTGAATTAGGTACCAAACTAACAACTAACATATAACATCTCATTAAAACCGGTCTCTAAGAGCACCTGGCTGGCTCAGTTGGTAGAGCATGATCTCAGGGTTGGAAGTTCGAGCCCCATGTTGGATATAGAGATTACTTAAAAATAAAATCTTAAAAAAAAAAAAAAATATTTATATTGTAAGAGCAAAACAGGTAAATCTTCATTCTTAATGTGAAAAAGTACTCTCATTGCAGAACATATAAGAAATGCTTGTAAAGTTATATTTAGAAGACTCAAGTGGGCGACAGTATAGCTTGGCAACCCAGCAGTCATTCCTCCTCCCTCCTTGGTTAACAGAATCCCAATCTTTATCATGACACTTTTTTTAAAATTAATTTACTTATTTAGAGAGAGAGAGAACACGTGTGCACACACATGCATGAGCAGGGGAGGGGCAAAGAGAGAGGGAGAGACAGAGAGACAATCCCAAGCGGACTCCCCACTGTCAGTGCAGAGCCCAACACAGGGCTTGATCTCATGACCAACAGATCATGACCTGAGCAAAATCAAGACCAATAGATCATGACCTGAGCCAAAAAATCAAGAGTTGGATGCTCAACCAACTTAGCCACCTAGGTGCCCCATATGATGGCACTTTTACAATTATAATGAGCAATGATTTTTATTATGACAATATATTTTAAAAGACACATTTTACAATCAATAGAGTTTAAGATTTGATAGGATATGTACCAGGTGCTAGGGATATAGAGAATAATGCATAATCCTTTGTCTTTGTAGAGTTTATAATCTGGTGAAGAACACTAGTAAACCAACACTAGGAAACCAACAACTATAGTATGATGTGATAGTTACAAGAAATGAATGAAACAATACAATGAAAACACAAGATAGGACACTAGGCCCTATGCAGTAGGGAGAAGCTAACATGAAAGATTTCCACAGGAGATTTCCTAGACCTTTTATTTAGGAGCAGTAGTCCTGAGATCAACTTTCAAACACTAGTAATTCTGAGTATAGACATTTTATTTTTTTAGCAACTACATACAAAAGGAAAAATACATTTGAATATACTGACATCAAGTGGAGAAGACCTTTCCAGAACTGGGAAATGGCAGAGTTCCACTAAACAAGGTAACTCAGTAACCGCCTTACCTGTCTTCTGGTAATTCAACTGGTTTAATCCGAAAGTCTCCATTTACTACAATTTCATGGGCTAGAGCCATGTTAGCAACTCCTTTCGCTGTATCTAGAAGTTCTTCTACTGTCACAAATCGAGGAGGACTAGCTGTAACAAAACCCAGTGTAAGAGATTCGCTTCTCTAGATTAAAATTTCTATTAAACTAAGGAGAAGGCAGTGGTTCTGGTACCAGCTAATAACTTCAGCTATGCCTCTATTTATGAAAATATTCTGGCAATTTCAAACAACAGAATTTTACCTATTTCATTTTTCTTTTAACCTGGAGTCCCAAAAGCAGAGACCATTTCCAATTCTCAAAATATCTGGACTTTTTACTTAAGACTGGTCAGTGGAAATGATTAAATTAAATGGAGACAAACTTTTAAAGTCACAGACTATCAAATTTCCCAATACGCTGAGGGTTGTTTTCTTTTTTTTTTTTTGAGGGACTATTCACTCTCCTCTGGGCCTTTCCTGAGGTTCCCAAAACCACCCAGATGAAGACTGCTGGAAACTGCCACTAGCGGCCTTGACTGCGGGTAACCCCATGAACATGTTTGTGCTCGAGTGTTTTTTAAAACCGCCATTTCAGCCTCTCCTGAAAAAAATCAACGATCTGATAACACGGACCCACATTCTTCAACCACAATCAACTGCCTCCTTTAACAGTGTATATTACTCCCCTTTGCCAGGCTCACTCCATTCTTCCCAGTAGGAATTTATAGTTGAGTTTGCTGCAAGCCTATCTTCCCCAAGGCCTCCTAGGAAACTCCTCCTTAACTTGGCCAAGTGCTAGAAGCTCTTACTGTTCAAGTCTAGCACCATGCAACACATAGAGATGCTCAATAACAGGCTTGTTAGATGATGAACAAATCAATTTTAGGTCTTTTTTTTTTTTTAAATTTTGCTTTTAAATAAATCACCCAATCAGGGCTCAAACTCAGGACCCGAGATTAGGAGTCACATGCTCTTCCACTGAGCAAATGCGCACCCCTTCTTAGGAGGTCTTTTGTCTTTCTGAACCCTGAGGTAACTTCATGATGCATAACATTTTGCTATGTACAAATATTGATATGATATAAAGAAGCTGAAAATGAAGGAACTTTTGGAAAGCAACTTGCCTAACATGCAACCAGAGTCTTAAAACTGTTCCTTATCCTCTGGTAATGCCACTTTAAGAACTTATAGTTGAAATATGAAATACTAGAAAAAAAGTTTTGTACACAAGGATATTTCATGGCAGGATTAAACAGTAAATAATTAGGGTAATCTATTATACATCTTAACATAAAGTAATAGTTAACTATATCTCTACCTTAAATGAAGATTTTGCAGCCATTGAAAATGCTTATAGAGTTTAAAATAATATAAGTTTAAGGTGCCTGGGTGGCTCAGTCGGCGTCCAACTCTTGGTTTTGGCTCAAGGTCATGATCAGTTCGCGAATGGGCCCGATATTGGGCTCCACTCTTGACGGCGTGGAGTCTGTGAAATTCTCTCTACTTTCCTGCTCTCCCTGCTCCAGCTCTCTCTGAAATAAAATAAAAAAATTTTTTTTAATTATCAATATATGATTAACCCAGTGATTTTGCCTTTGGTGGTAAAGCCGTGGGTGATTTTTTTCCTTCTTTCTCTTTTCTGTTTTAAAAAAAAAAATGTTGCTTTTTTAAATTCATGAGTATCTACACTCGAAGTCTCAAATCTGAACTGGGCTCTGTATATTAATTGCACTGTGTGTAATCACAATCCCATGACCTCCGAAAAGGGCACTATTTCCTTAATATCCTTTAGTTTCTTAACTTCTTATTCTGCAGGTGCACACATGTCCCCATCATCCAATAATATAATTCTGCCAACTTAAATGTCTAGCCATTCTCTGCTTCTTGCTATGATCAGTCCAGATCTAAACACTTCCGTGCTTCTCAGTCTACTGTGACAGCAGAGAAAGATAAGGAGGTCTACAGAGAGGCACAAGAAGTTTTAATCAAAGTTTCTTACATTGAACATCATTTTACGTTGTACACAAAGATTTGCAATACATTGCAAATAAAGCATCAAAATATTACTTAATACCACCATATCATTGCAACTATAAACATTTTGACCTTTTAAAATCTATAGAAAAACATGTTTTCAAATGTTTATTTATTTATTTTAATGTTTATTCCATTTTGAGAGAGAAGCACAAGGAGGGCAGCAGAGAAGAGACACAGAATCTAAGGACAGGCTCTCCAGGCTTTGAGCTTGTCAGTGCAAGCGGGGCCGATTTGAGGTTTGAACCCCCTATAAACCATGCAGACTATAACCTGAGCCACCCTAACACTTAATATGCCACCAGGTGCCCCTCTTTTATTTAAGTAACTAAGTAAATTATATGATAGCTCTAAGCTAACATGGGGCTCAAATCACACTCGAGAACAAGGTTACATGTTCTACTGACTGAAGCCACCAGGCATCAGTTTTGCAATCATTTTAGGCGAGCTATTTAAGCTTCTGTTTAAGGTCTAGGTAGCAATCAGCAGGATAAAGATGAACAAGCTGGTAAAAGTGAAAAACACAGCTGGTAACTGCGTGAGCCTCTGAATCAAATACAGAACCAGTTTTGGATACATTTTCTCTTTCCATACTTCTGTAATGAAAAGAGTCTTAACCATTTACCTTCTCTATCCCAGACTAGGTCACTCTTTGGCCTATTATAAATTAAAGCATATCTAAGCCGATTAAATTTTATATAATCACCTGTGTGAACAAATAACTTGTTTTCTTTAAATAGTGCTTTAAAAAAAATTTTTTTTCAGTTTATTTTTTTTGGGACAGAGAGACAGAGCTGTAACAGAGCGAGGGCAGAAGAGAGGGGAGACACCAGAATCGGAAACTTGAAGGCTCCAGGCTCTGAGCCATCAGCCAGAGCCCAGGGGCTTGAACTCCATGACAGCGAGATCGTGACCTGGCTGATCGGACAGCTATAACCGCTTCATCCCACAGCCTAATAGTTTTAAAAATATAACCTTCATTTACCTGAAAGTAAAATTTTGGGTTATCACAACCCGTTTGATATTTTTAAAGGTATTCTAAAAAGTCTTAATCCACAATTCATTGAGATATGTTAACCTCTCAATCCTTCAATTTCTTTAAAGTCTTCTGGTACAGAAGTAACACAGACAGGCTGAATACTCTAATACCAGAAAGCACTACAATTTGCCCTCCATCTACCTCTTTATTTCTCCGACAAGTTTGAATGATGGTAGTATGGGGGAGCTTCCACCTGTCTGGACACTCAAGCAGTCCCAACACTATGTACAATATCCTTTACTCTCTTCTCCAAAGCTGACAAATGAAAAAAGGAAGAAAAAAAAAAATCAAAAAGAAAATATTTGAGGCTCAAATACTTCGAGCACACAAATTCTATGAGGTTTAGTGAGATTTAGACTGTTTACAAATAATTTAGATGAAGGAAAAGATTTCTAGATATACTTATACCAGTCACATACTACTATTTTGGTTTAGTGATTTTGCTCAGTAAGTGACCTCTGACGACAGAATAACTTTCTCATAATTTCACAGATGACTTTGAGACCAATTATATATGTATATAAGGATGTAATAGCATATAAACTAGCTGGAAGGGTTCAGAACTGTTTTCTTAAATTTTTCCCTGTACCGTATTTGTTAAGATATTTATGTGTAAGTGAGTTTAAGATGGCTTTCAACTCACATGTATATATAGGCTGAAGGACTTTATTTCTAGAAAATACCTATATCCGATATAGAGACATTTGAATTAGGTACCAACTATACGCTAACATATAACATCTCATTAAAACCGGTCTCCTAAAACACCTGTTGGCTCAGTTAGTGAACTGATCTCAGGTTGGAAGTTCGAGCCCCATGTTGGATATAGAATTATATAAAATCACAAACTTAAAAAAAAAAAAAATAATATTTATATTGTGAGAACTTAAATCTTCATTCTATTAATACTGAAAAAGTACTCTCATTGCACATATAAGAAATGTTGATAAAGTTATATTTAGAAGACTCAAGTGGTGCGACAGTATAACAGCACCCAAGCAGATCATTCCTCCTCCCTCTTAGGTTAACAGAATCCCAATCTTTATCGCATGACTTTTATAAATTAATTTACTTATTTAGAGAGAGAGAACACGTGTGCACACACACACATGCATGAAGCAGGGGAGAGAGGGCAAGAGAGAGACAGAGAAGAACAATCCCAGCGGACTCCCACTGTACAGAGCCCAGCACTGGGAGCTTCGATCTCATGGCCAACAAGGATCATGACCTGGAGCAATCAAGACCAATAGATCATGGCGACCAAATCAAACGCAGTTGGATGCTAACCAACTAGCCACCTAGGTGCATCATGATGGCACTACAATTATAATGAGATTTTTTATTATGGCAATAGTATTTTAAAAGACACATTTTACAATCAATAGAGTTTAGATTTGATAGGATATGACGGGTGCTGGGATATAGAGAATAATGCATAATCTATTGTCTAGAGTTTTATAATCTGGTGAAAACACTAGTGAAACCAACACTAGAGAACCAACAACTATAGTATGATGATGGTAGTTACAAAGAAATGAATGAAACATCAATGAAAACACAAATGAGGACACTAGACCTATGCAGTAGGAGAAGCTAACATACACAGAGATTTCCTGAGACCTTTTATTTGGAAGCAGTTAGTCCTGAGATCACTTTCAAACACTATAATTCTGAATGTATAGACATTTTATTTTTTTAGCAACTCACACTTTAAAAGGAAAAATACATTTTGAATATATCTGACATCAAGTGGAAAGACCTTTTCAGAACTGGGAAATGGAGTTCCACTACCATGAGAACTCGAACATGTACACTTCTTCTGGTAATTCAACTGGTTTTAATCAGAAAGTCATTACTTTCAATTTCATGGGCTGGACCATGTTAGTAACTCCTTGGCAATGTATCTGAAGTTCTTCACACTTCTGACAAATGGGAGAGGACTAGCTGTAAAACCCAGTGTAAAAGAGATTAAACCTCTAGATTAAATTTCTATATAAACTAAGGAGAAGGCAGTGGTTCTGGTACCAACTAATAACT